AAACTAGGGCACTCTCCATGGTCCGTCCTTGATATTTCGAACCTCGCGTATCAAACGATGAGTATCCCTCTTGCTCATATGCCATCTCAAGCAACTTTCTCATACTATCCAATCTCTCTCGAATCTCTTCCGGTTGAAATGAAAAGAATTTTCCTCGGGTAGATCGGTGACGGTCTAGCGATTACCATGAGAATAGTAAGCTCGTTAGGTGGACGGTCCAGCGGAAGTAAAAGCGAGCGCAACAATGTTACCGTCGGACGACGTGCCTTTGGCATTGGAGATCGAAGTCGCCACTATTAGATTGAGGTTCAACGGTGGGCACGACCGCCGCCGTCGCATCGGTTTACAATATCGTAAATCGCTCGCTAACCAGTTGGTCCCGCGGTATGCTTGGAATTCGGCTGCTGCTGCTCTTCCCTCTTCATCCCTCTGTCGCTCCATCTCCGTTTAACCATCCCCTTGGGTACTCTCTGTTACGTTTCTCTTTCTCTCGCTGTCTCTTGCTAGATATCCCTGTTCGTTCTATCTGCACGTACGCGCGATTGAATAGGCGGATGCAGAGAAACGGGGTGGAAGGAGGCGGGAATATTCTTGACTAGGCGCAGCCGAACGTTGTCATGCATCGTTTACAAGCCGAGCATCTCCGTTCTTGTGGCGAAACGGGCAAATTCACTTGCCGGCTGTTATGCACCCTTGAATGGACCAACAGATATTCCTAGCCGCGAATGCTTTCGCGATCTTCGTCGAACGACCAACCGCATCCCTTCTAATTTGCTCTCTAACCGTGACGGGCTACCACCACCCTGACGAAATATCAGCCGCGTGACGTGCCTAGGAAAATTAACATAATTCCCTGATTCCGATCTCTGTCTGAGACGACTTTGGATCGTACATTCTGTGTAGGTGATAATTATTTTTGAATGATAAAGGAAGTATACCTCTGATGAGGATGGTTTGCGGTGTACTATATGAAATTATAAAAATTATTGAAAATAATTGATCACTGTTAATTCTTGTATTTCAACAATTTTTATTAGCTCGTTTCCCTTCTCGATCGAGTATTTTTCATTGCATGAGAACGTCTGATTAGAAAAGGAAAAAACTGATGGACAAGGGTAATTGAACCGTTCGATCAAAGTGCCTTTTATGGTGGCGCTTTGTCACGGATGTCATTTCCCATTCGCGTGGAAAGGAACTAAAACGAGCGTAATGCCCGAAGCTTTGAGTGTCGGGACTTTGTTGAACCGTGAGCTTCTGCTAACGGGGGATTTGAATGCCCGCAAGCACGTATGTTTTCTCTGTTCCTTGTTATTAGCGATGGGCTAGTAATCGCATCGAATCGCTTCAAACAATTTTACTAAAAATAAAATAGGCACGTATATGGGAAATATTGAATGGGTTTATATATCCTTTGGAAATGTTTTTAACCCTCGGACGACGGACCGTGGAGAGAGCCCCAATTATAGTAGGCGTCCGATGACTTTAATTTTCAATCATGCCTCGAACGTAATCAAACTTTTACTTCTCTTTCTCTTTCATGAAATTCAACGAAAGAGAAGGTGCAGAAAAAAAAACGAGAGAACAAGGTGTAATTACCGGCGTTGTTTCGAACGATTTATATTAAAATGGAAAGCAATCTGCATTTGCAAATGAAATCCCGTTCGCGTGTACTGGCCGCGGCGGTGAAGAGAAAGCGTGTAGGAAGCCGGTGGATTATCGTGATGAAGGGGCAAACAGGCAGGTAACCAGGTTGGTTACCTGCGGGCTGAATCGTGTAAAATCAAACGGATATCTCTGTCGTGTTAATTGTGCGTTTGATAATCCATTGGCCATTCATCTCGTATCGCTTGTCCTACGATCTCGTTTAACCCTCTCTGCAAATTTGTGTAATTTTCGGTTGACGTATCGTATTTCTATCGTAAATTCGGGACTACCTTCATTTACGCGTATCACAGTAAGTAAATAGAAATTATAGAATATCAATATGAAAATCGGCAAAGCTATTGATATTTTCTAATTACAGCATCTAACAATCTGTATCGTTTCATACGATAATAAACCTTTAAGTAATATCATGAAATTGTAATATTTTCTATCATTTTTAATGAGAATATTTTAAATTGCTATTAAAAGATCTGTATACCGGCGCGGCATTCTTGAAAATAATTCCTACCTCACAATGACTATCATCAAATTCGAAGAGTTCACATTGTCCAGCTCTGGCAATGATCGTTGAAAGATTTTTACGGTAGCCGGGGGAAAATTATAGCCGCGATTCGCGAACCTGCTGTGCTTTGGAGAGATCGAAAGGTCGCCGAAGAGGAAGCAAAAGCGTATTGCTCGTTTACCGAAGTCAAGCAATTAGCACGCTGATCAAGAAGGCTAATGGAGGTCGTGTTCAAAGTCGCGGAACGCTCTTTGACTTCTGGCCATTCAATATTTTCTATTGAACGTTTCCAAGCGATTCAATCACCGGAGAATTTCAAACCCACCTGCTGTTACATTCTTCCTTAGTCACTGTTTTCATCTATATTTTGCATAAACTTGAATACAAATTCCACTTTGATAGTTATTCAAAGTAAAAGATATTTTATGCAACAATTAATGCCCGTCACTTCGAGTGATAAATGACTTAAGATAAATGAAGCGATACATTTTTTTGTTCCTATTGAAAACTATTACTTCTGGTAATTAGATTATTTAGGTATCGTTTCAGATCCTTAATTATTACATTACTATTACTATTTGCATTCCGTAATATTAGTTCTTTAAATTAACCCTCGAAGGGCGGACCATGGAGAAAGCCCCAATTTTAGTTTAATTGTCTATTTCCTCTGAAAATTAGTCTTTCAATGTATGAAACACTTTTGTAACCGCAGATCAAGTAGAATGAATTTTTTCTTTTAAATTGACTCATTCAGGAAGTAGAGAAAATAAATATAAATTCGCAATTTTCCACGAATGCTTATCTAGATTCGCCATTCCGAACAGATGAAGCCTGTTAGCTTCCTAATGCCTAGGGCATCGTTCTCGATGATGCCTAAGGCACGATTCACCCTCGAGATTCCTTTCCGCGTAGAGAACAGCGTTCCTCGAGACTTTGCATTCTTTCCTGGATACTCAGCTTTTATACCCGGAAGACTCGCTTGTCGCGAACCTTTTTTTCCCTCAACGGGTTAAAAAACAGATGACAGAAGGATGTGCACGCACAACTTCCACGTGATCCATGAAACCGGCAATAAATAGTTGTTACTGCTATGCATTTTGAATAGCAAAGGAAATATTTGAAATTGAACACTGATAGTAATTTTATTTTCGCAAATTGTGAATTTTTAGAATATCTACTTTTTGAAAAATGAATTTATTGCAACTTTCAAATTACAACCCCGAGGAACGATGTTCATTTGAAAATTGTTAAAAAATATCATTCTGACGTGCAATTTTTCCCTTAACAAATAATTACAATCTGAAACGTTTCATGTACACGCGCACCATGCCAGCAATTTCTGGAATGTTTTTCATAGAATTTTCTGGGATTCAATGGAAATAAATTTTTAACGTTGGGTTACCAGGTTGGAAAAAAAATATTCAAAATATGATGATCCCTCGTGCAACGTATCTCGGAAAAAAAGATATTCGAATCGCCGATTCAATTAACCCGTTGTTTATATTTTATTTGCAATACTGATATTGAACAGTTATTTTTTTAGCGAACTACTGCAATGGTAAACTTAGTCTACCTCAACAGTCTTCTCGTTTTATAAATAATTCCATTTATGTTGAAAAACGATGAAATTTCGATGATTTATTTAAACTTCAGCTTTCAGATGTCTCGTTTTTCATTTGGTTCACGATACTTTTTAAGAAAACGATGGCACGACGGTTTTGATTCGAAGGAAAAGTTCCGAAAAATACGAAGGACGTGTCTTTCGATTTATTTTTAAATTTCCCCTGCCAGCCTCTCCCTCGTCGCTCGATTTACGAGCTTGAAAATCACTTTGCACCTCGGTATTAGATTCAGCTTTCTGTTTCCTCTCTTGAAAATGACGAGAAAATAAATAGGCGCTATAAATCGGCGACAAAACAAATCGGCTGCTTATATAATTTGAGAAAACTTGGAAATCTTTTTTTTCTTTTTTTTCAAGCTACGTTGGAAATCTTTGTTTCTGAAACATTAAGTATTAGAATCGAAAGCATTTTTCAATTTTACTTGATATACAAAATTATTAATTTTAGATCTCAAAAATGAATTCTTTGACTATTTGAACCGTGGATCATTTCCACGCCAGTGTACAGGGTGGCTTGTTCGCAATTAAATCACTCTCGATGGCACGTTTTTGTAGAAGTTGCTATTACGTAAACTATTACGACCTCGATATGGAAAAGCTTACGCGTACGCGTTGTATTCGCTCGTCTCCACGCTTTCCGAAGATGCTCGCGAGCGTAACCGCGAGTCACTAGCAGATTTTAACGAGCCGATTTCACTGCGCCCGTTGCGTGAAAGTCAGGATGTCCGGTCCTAAGAAAAACTTACTATGGAACTTCGAACGAGATCGAAATTGCACGAACAATTGGATAAATATCTCTACGTACGTTATCGGGTCGATCGTTGTGCAGCTTGATTGCTTTAATTGAACCAGTTATTTTGCGGAAAAAACATTTCAAGCGATTTTCGATTGAAAATTTACAGAATATTTTTGTGAACCATGCAAGATGTTTTCGATTTTGTTTTCATAAAATGAAAAATAAAAATTTCATACGAGATATCGAAGGCTTCTCTACAAATGATTTTACAGAAAATTGCGAGTGCAATTAAATTGAACAAGCTGCACAGTGATCTGTTGAACCGCGTTTATTTGCACAATTCAGATACGTACTGTGCCGAGACATGCTCGACGCAGCAATCTTTCAAATGATTATTGTCTACCAGATCGCATGATTTCTTTGAATCTTTTGAACAGTATTATTCTACATGTACGATCTCACTGTCTGCATTATAGGTGCACCCACGTCGCCGTCATCCTGACCTGCCCGAGAAATCCTCATGAAAGACTGGGAACTCAGTACTCAGAATAGCATCGGTATTGTAGCCATTTCTTTTTTTATTTCACCCAACCTCACCCTTCTCTCTATCTCTCCGTCTATTTTTTGTTGTTCAAATAGCACGTCATTGAACCGCGGCTATTTGTTAGAATTCTTCTTTTCAATTTTACTCTGTCTATTTTGTTCTTGATCTTTGTCCTTGTACTTTTTTATAAATTTCTTTTTTAAAGTCGGTAGTGGTGTTGGCTACTCTAACAACGAATAGAAATGTTGAAAGATAATTTATTAAAAACGAAAATTTTCTGGATCATTTTTTTTTATATATTCGATTGTTTGACTGCTAAACTTTTATTTTTGTAAATTGTGCTTTTTGTTATACTCTCGGTGACGAACGATGAATTTCTGTAGGAGGATGTGGATAAATTTCTAAATTCAATTCGGGGGAGGTAGGTCCACTCTTATTGAGAAATTAATTTTCATAAATTGAAGTTTATCAATTAAGTCACATGAATTTTTTTACTATTTAAATACAACTCCGTTTTTTCTGATTCCTATTATTATTTCTAATATGCTATCAGAATAAAGCTTTTAGTATTTTAGTTCTTAACTACTTAAGTATAATGTATTAGAAGAAAATTTTAATTAATTAAACTTCTAACGACCTAATAAATACTCACAAATAGTATTAATTAATGGGAGCGCACGCAAATGGAAAAAAGACAAGGGAAGTCGTCCTTCTAACGTACAATCGATCCAATTAAAATATCGTCGTAGCTGCATCCCCTCGAATTCAAAGTTTCTCGAAGAATTCCAGCTGCCTCAAGTAGAGTAATCGTCTCATTCGACTCTTAACGCGAATTCTGTCGAGAGTGTGCACGATAATTGTCCCCCGTTGTACCCCTTCCGGTTCTTCGTCGAATCGATTGCCACGAAACACGGGGTCGAAGCAAACCGTACCACCACAAAAGCATGAACGATGCTCCGCTAGAATTCACTCTTCTCTTACGAATCAAATTATTCACGGTTAGTCGTTTTCGAATGATAAATCAATTAATTGAGTTAGAGAACATTTTCGAGATAATACACACTAATATAATTTTGTTAATAATTTTCTAATTTCTAATTTCAATTTGCAGGGGTGGTAAAATAAAAATAATTTTAATTGAATAAAAATTAAATCGCAGCCCCGGTTCTCAGAATGGGATATTTTAAGCTGAACTTTAAGCAACCCCTTCGCTTTGTATTCTTCAAATACAAATAACAAAGTATTAACGAATGATTCATTATTTCGATTCATTTCTCCTCTATCTTCTTCTCTCTCCCTCTGTCGTAGTAGGCACGAGAGTGGCCGCAACCGCGAATTACTTCGCAATTCCCCGAAATTGCGCAATCCGTTCCGGCTAATGGCCACTGGTCCGTTGCCGGGGAGGGTGGTGTGGATGGGTATCGACGAGGCTGGTAGGGGTAGTTGGGTTCGCTCGAAGGGATGGATGGACTGCGGCGAGGGGGGTAAACGAGGAGACCATTAATTAAGCAAAATCATAAACCCGCTGGCCAAGAGCGCGGTTGCATTGAAAAATATAAACGCCAGGCCCGTTACTTTCACGAACGAGATCTCCCGCTCTTTCTCTCTCTCTTTTACCGTCTACCACTGCAATGCATTGACTCCTGTATGTGCCTCTGTGTGTGTATACGTGGAACTACATCCTGCTGCAGTTTGCGTCAGAAGGGATTTTATCATTGACACCATTGACGCAGCGATTGCAGTTTTCTACTGGGTGTACAATAAGTAATGATCAATTTGTTTAGGATATCTGTACAAAAATTCAAGTTCTTGTATTTTCCGAAATTAATTATTTTTGGTTTCGCTAATTATTAGTATAACATTAATATTATTCAAAATTTATTTTCTCAATAATTTGATGGCCTCTCTTCAATCTTTCACCAATTGCTCCGTCAACTTCGCGTCTTCCGTCAGCTAAAAAAAACAACGAAACGAAAGAAGAGAAACGTTTGAGAAATAACGAGAATAGATGGGAAGTAGATTTTTGAGTACCCAGTTGGCAGCTGAAACTGGTGTCAATCGACCAGGGGAAAAAAATACAGCGACCTGTCAATTTCCTTCTCGTTTGTTGATTTTCTGAGTGGGTGAGCCGAGCACCGTAATTATCGATCAGGTTAATTACCTAGACTATTTCTTGCGATAACTTCATCGACGTCGATCAGATCGAGCCCAATTACTACTCCGTGAACCTGTTGTCAGACACGTATATACCGAGGGAGAAAAAAAGCAGTGCAAAGAGGTGAAAGAAAATTTCAAGTTACTGGTCTTGCGTTTAAGATAATAACTGCTGCGGTTTACTTTAGCAAAAATGATAGGCTGAAATTGGTGTTTCGAGATTAACTATTCTATAAGTGAAAATATGAAAAGTATAGTAACCATATGTAGGTCATGTTGAAAACATCGAAGAGAGATATTATCATATTTTACTTGGATCATTTTGACATAATTACTTGAGTGGAAAGATAAAAGATATTAGATCCTTCCTGGCTCCTCCTTGGTTTCCCTGGGGTTCCTATCAGATTAAAGGCTATTATTTCAAAAGTGCTGAGGTATGTTACAATCCAGCACACTCTCGCAGCTAATAGATTATCGAAACGGTACAAAATCTAAAATAATTGATGTCTTGAATAATTTCTCGGTGTTTGACCGGCGATGCCATACATACACGGTTACGACGGTGTTCTGTTGTTCGAATGCATTCGAAGCGATTACTAAGCCATCGCTAGATATTACACGAGCTTCCAGTTTGAGAAATAGCCTGGACATGCTGTGTGTATCGAGAATACGCATATTAGTTAGTACGGTGTACGCAGTGGAGAGGCAGGTCGAGGTATATCGAGGTCGACCGGTTCTCCAACAGCCGTCAGCCGTTAAGGGACATTGCGACATACACACGAGAAAGAGCCTAGGACCTAGGTTCTCTCTCATTCGTCTTTTACGCCATGCCAACTCCGGGAATTGCGAATAAATTGTTGTCAACCTGGTGCACCGTACTGCATTGTCGCTCGACTGACCCTCGCGACCTCTTCGACATTGTCTCTTAGACCGCTAACCGTATAAATGAAAAGACGAGTTGTGTGACGAAATGATTTGAAAAATTGCATGCCTTCGATGATAGAGCGAGAATGGAACCGTGGATGGTTACGATAAGTGTGATTTTATTCGATTTTTCAACCCCCCAGGACGGCGGACCATGGAGAGAGCCCCGATGTTAATGTAATTTCGTATCTGGTATTAGTTTCATTTTCTAAGAGCTGCAGGTTGGATATTTATGAATCAGCCTATATTCCTGGCCTGCGTATCGTTCGTTACGTATATGCTGTGAGAAAGTGCAATTGAACCGAGCTGGGGAAACCGGAATAGAGCATAGAATCGCCGTGGTTGTTTTCCGTATGCGGTCGTTTTAATAACGCAACGATAGGAATCCTTGATAAGAAGATATTAACCAGCAGAACGATCGCGAACCAGAGGAAAAACGTGGGACAACGCCGTTAACCGGTGTGATTCACTCCGAGTGATTTTCCATAAAGCTAGGTGAACGTTCGCGACCAACCACTGTGCAAAATCCAACGCGTCTCTGATACGCGTGATATATGAAATTTTACCAAATTACACAGGTATTTGTTCGAATGAAAGTACAGGGTGCAATAAGATAAATCAAGCTCGTTTATTGAGTTTGGAAAGTGGATGCTTTTTTTTTAGAAAATTTAAAAATTCTAATTCATTAATTAAATTCAATTCAATTTTCACGGAAAAGGAAGTTTCATTAATTTTGATGACTTTAGTATTGTTAAACTGTTGGTCCTTTTAACGTAGAGAATTTATAGATCGACTTAAATGTATTCATTGTTGAGAATTATTATCGAAACCAAAATGGTTCCGCGCGAATCGCTCTATCGATAAATTAATAATTAACGCTTGGTGACTAGCACCTGCGGTACTCGGAATTATGGTTGAATTTCCAACGCTACTGCAGCCACGAATAGACTTAATGCGGTTTATTATAACAATCGTATCAAAGTCCAGTTAATGGTGTTGTAATATCGCTGCCGTATCAAACTTTATCGTCAGGGAAAGAAATACGCAATTAAATTAAAATTGGGACTCTCTCCATGGTCCGCCGTCGAAGAAGAACAAATTTCTCTTGGCTTGAATTATTTGAAAAATAACATATGCACGCATGCAGTATTCTTGACATGTTTGGATTGTAAAAAATGTAACGTCCAGAATATCATTTCACCTCAAGACCTTATCGGCATAAATCAAGCTTCTATTAGGATCTCATTAATTACCGAAGAGGAAAACACTTGTATAAACATACGTATATACTTGTATATGTATGCCAGTACATATATCCTCGAGGAGGTTAATATCGATTACCCAGGTCGCGAATGTTCGTCACCCGTTCAACCTGATACACAGCAGCTCGGATGGTGTCAGGTAAGAATGGTAAAAAAAAAAGAAAAAAATCAGCTGGAGAGGGACACAAGAGTATCGGTATAATTTTGTAATCAAACAACCCGGTTGATGCTGTTTATGGCTCGAAACAAGCCTCGCGATTCCTGGCACACGGCTCTCTGGAAAATCCGCGCCGCGTGTCGGCGCATCGTTCCTCTTGCAAAGATCAAAGGCAGGCGAATCACGGCAAAAACAGGCAATTGCAAGGAGGAGAGGAGGGTATAGTCGTTGCTCCTTCCTCCAACCGCTGAGATCACGAAGGTGCACCTTGTACAGCGTCGTTCAAAAGGGTTACATCTTCATTCTATTCCCATAACTACCATACTGTCATCATGATAGGTAGAAACTAGGAATTCTAGGATAAGAAATCGAAAAGTCCTTTATCATTTTGCAATTTGAAGCTCCATTTTCAAAATTAGCTGTCCCTTTCAAAGGGGGTAGATCGGTTGATACTGAAAGACATAAGGGTGGTGATATATTTCGGTGTCCTGGGTGATCGAGGATCAGCTGTTTAAC